AACTCTGCCTGTGAGAGAAAAGTGTGTACAGCGTTTCTAGAGGTCCAATGGGTGATATGCATCAAAACCATAAAAGCGTTGCAAATCCAGAAATCATAGTTCTAGGAATTACATACTGCAACACATTTATACAGAAAAGTAATATGGCTATGAGGCTGTTGGTCAAAATTTTGTTGAAAATAGTGAAAATGTGTAAACAACAGAAATAGTTAATAAATATAAACGACAGAATATTTAACGAGACACAAAGATGCTTGCAGTTGGCTATAAAGATAAAGAAACAGGTTACAAAATCATGTATAGTATGATCCCCCTCCTCCCTTTTGAGGAAGGCACAGAGAGAAAACACTGGAAGGGTACACTGCAGGGATTTTATGATGGTTGTTTCAGGGTGGTAGGATTTGAAAACTACAAAATCTGTTTTCCCTTCTCCACATTTATATACACGCCCTCACTGTCCTGGACTACCTGTGTGTTCTGTCACAACTCTGTCCAGTAAAAATACAATATGCGACAAATATGTAATTTTAAATATTCTAGTAGCCACATTTAAAAAGAAAAGAAACAGATAAAAATAATCTTAATAACACCAATATATCCCAAATACAGGGGTTGGCAAAAGGAGGTTTCGGTTGTGAGTATGCAAAATACAGAGTTTATTCTTGTCTTATTTATATACGTATGTATTTTAAATTTTTTTATTAACCTACTTTTGCCCACCCCTGTATTATCATTATGACATGTAATCAACACAGAAAATATTGATGATATTTTACATGTTTTTTAACACTCAGCCTTCCACACCTGGTGTGGATTTCACATTTGCAGAATATCTCAGTTTGGGCCACCCACATTTCAAGCACACAATAGCCACTTCCATAGTGGGCAATACAATTCTATAAAATAATAGCTAACATTTATCAAGTACCTACTATGTGCTAGACAATGTTCTTAGCCCAGTGAGTGGAGATTATAACTCATTCGGTCTCACAATAGCTCCATAAAGCTGTGCTTATTGTCTCCATAAGCAAAGGCTGCTGTTGCACTAACACCACACTAAACGTTCTGAAGCTTTTACAGCCATTTTTCTAATGGTGTGGAAACCAGGTTGCAGAGGCCTATTGACTCAGGGGAAGAGAGGGAGTTGGAGACAGGATAAAACATTCAAGAAGTTTGACAGTGAAGAATAGGAGGTAACAGAGTGAGGGAAACGTGAGGACAGAAGACTTTTTGTAGGGCAGGGAGACATGAAGGTGCATGTAAGGCTGAAGAGGAAAGGAAGAGATGGAAAGTAAAGGGGAGATGACTGGAGATGGAGGACCAGGCTCTCAATGAGAGGCAGGGCTCCGCTGGGGGCCCTGGTGTACACCACAGCTTCCCAGCAGGGGCAGGGGATGGAGGATATGCAGGCTAGCGAGGGAGACGGACTACAGGCGCAGACAGCCCCATCCTGCAGGTGAAAGCTAAACAGGGTGGCATGATGGTGGTGGGAGAACTTCCTGGGGAGTTGTTGGACTGAGTTGAGAAGAATGAAGTTAGCCCAAAGAAGCAAAAAGGGAGAGGATTAGACTTCAGAAGTACTTAACAACAAGACCTGGCGACCGACTGGATGTGGATGGAGGATGGGAGAGAGTGAGGATTCCAGGGTGACTCCTGTTTCCGCCTGGACAAAAGGCAGAGGCAGAGACAGCAACATGTACCAAGTGCCTCTCTGGAGTCAGACATTGGTCCTGCATGCCTCATATCCTGTCATTTAATTCTTCCAGAGCTCCCATACAATGCTTGCCATTTCACCGGTACATAAATTGAAGCAAGATTATTGGCCCCAGGTGTCATCATTAGTAAATGGAAGAGTCAGGATTTGAGCCTGGGGTATTCCAGAGATAAAGGAAGGGAAGAGAAAAGCTGATAGGGCCAGAGCCAGGATGGGAGGTCCAGAGGGATGAGCAGGTACACTGTGAAAGGCTGCTCATGGATGTGTGGGAAGGGTGAGGCGCTCCAGCAGGAGGAAGGCGTGGCCAGCTGCTGGTCAGGTCAGAACTCAGTAGCCTGGGAAGGAGGACAGGAAAGGTGGAGAGGAAGGGCTGGGGAACAGAGTGAGTCTGGTGAAGGTGGCAGCTGTGCCCTTGGAGGAGAGGAGGCATTTGTGTAAAACAATCAACGGGGGAGGCGGGGAGAGAGTGGGGAGAGGCAGAGGTATGATTTTGTCAGAAACCGAGCAGGGGCGCTGGCAGAGGGAGAGACTGGGGCCAGGTGGGGGCATTGATGCTGGACCCAGAACACAGTGGAAGGCTTAGAGACGCACCCGCCCCCACCCACGACGGCGACAAGTCCTCTTAACCAGCTCAACGGAAGAAACAACAAATGAAGAGGACCTAAGAAAAGTGGCAATAGAGGAAATCAGGTTAGGGATCAATATCTGCAAAGGGAGGGGAAGGAGGAAAAACAGGGAAGTACAGGAGAGGAAAGCGCGAGAAGGGGGTGTCAGGAGAGGAGAAGCAGAGGGCGGGCGGAGGTAGCGTCCGGACGTCCAGCGCAACCTGGCCCCTATCCCTAACCCTCTGAAGCCCCATCTTGGGAGAGTAGGCTGCAGCAGGAGCAGGGGTGGGGATGGAATTGGGGTGCAACCTGAGCCAGCCATCCCCGCTGAAATCACACTCAAGTCCCCGGCCCTGTGCAGTCTGCTTCTTCACCTGTAAGGTGGGGATAACGACAGGTGGTTGGGTGTAAGAGTATTTGAAAAGCACCGCAACATGGGGAAAAAGCGTTACTTTGAAGGTCTATTGAATTAAATAAAACCATGTCTATCCAGAGCCAAATGAAAGAAGGCAGATGTGGCGGTCTGTAGATGCGAGTCTAGGCATGGCCTGACAGGTTCCCAGCTCCTCTACCTGATCAATTTATAGAGCGCGAGGTCAATACCCAGAAGTGAGGGCCTGCGGCTGGACAGGTGGGGTTCATCTCCCACTAGGGGCGCAAGGCCCTGGGGGCGAACTTGTACCTTCTTCGAGGCCCCCCCCCCCCCCCCCCCGCACTTGGTCTGTCTCTGCAGAGCACAGGCCCACGCAGTGCTTATCCAGCCGAACCCGTGTCCCTTCGGGGACCTTACTCTCCTGTTATTTCTTTCCACAAGGAACGAAACTCTCCTCGTCTGTGCCTCCGCTCAGCTCCGCACCCTGCCTTCAGAATGTTAGGTCCTTGTCCCCACTTGGCGCAGCTTCTGCTTTTCCAGGACTGAGGATGCGGCAAAGAAGAACGGGGGAGAAATAGAGGAAAAGTCAGCCTGAAGCAGCAGGGAGGCGAGAGAGAGGAGAAAAAGAGAGCCGTAGACAGAACTGAGGGAGGGGAAGCCCAGCACAAAGGGCAAGAACGATGCCGATGCCGAGAAACCAGCAAAAGAGTCCCAAGTGCGCTTGCCGCGGTCCCGCGACGACTCCTCCCGCGGGCGTTTCTGGGCACCTCTGCCTGCGACGCACTGGGCTTCTCCAGAAGCGAAGGGCTGCAGGGTGCGGTGGCCTCACCTCCCCCTCTGCCGCCGCTCCCTCCCCACCTCGCCGGACGGGCGGGACTGCGTTGGCGCGCGGGGGCTTTTCGGGGCAGTGGAGTGGAAAATAGACTTTAACCCGCTTTGTGGCGACAGGGCGCCCGGAGCGCTCTGCCGGACTAGGCTCCCCGTGCTCCTCTGGGCCACTCCCAAGACCCGGCCTGGAGTCCCTGAAGATGCGCGCGGACCTCCTGGCCTGGGGTGTCCGGAGGCTCAGGCGGAATCCGCGCGCTCCACCGCAGCCGAGCCGCTCCGAGTGACCCCGACAGCGGAGAGGGAGTGGGACGCGCTGTGGTCCCCGTCTCTCGCTGTGCTGGCAGGTCCCGGCCTCAGCTTCCCCACCACCGCCTAGCACCCTCCTAGGCCTCAGCGCAGTGTTGTCCTGTGGCCCGGAAGCCTCGGGCGGAGAAGTTTGCGGAGTACTGGTTCTCCTTGCCAACAGCCCTCTCTCCTCTGGGGAATTACTGCACAAAATGGGAACTGACCAGAGCAGAGTCGTCGGCTGCTCTCCGGTCGCGAGGGCAGGTGATGGTCAGGGGAGGCCAGGCGTTCGCTGCGTGCCTGGGACTGCCGGTGGGTCTGTTGGTGGACGGAGTCGACTGCTAGGCCAGCTCTAATTTAAGACAGTGTCCCCGAGGCCCTGGCCTGGCCCGAGCCGCCAACACTTGACCCACACGACCTGACCCGAGAAGGCCCAGCAGCCGAGGCGAGGAAAGAGGATCGCCCTGCTCTGCGGCCGGCAGCCCCTCTGCGGAGCTGGCCACAGTGACTGTGGCTGGCAGGCAAAGGTGCTTCTGAGTCCCACGCACTGCGGCTTGAGGATTGCAGGGCGACAGGTCCGGCGGCTCCTCTCCCACCTCCCGGGCCTGGACCCTCGTGAAAAGAATTAAGTGTCCCCTTTCTGGAGCTGCTCCCCCATGACACCCAGAAAACGCTAAACTTCACGAACAAGGCCACGGCCCGGGAGACGGACAGTGGGTGAGCAGGGGGGCCCTGGACATCAGAGGAGTGGGGAACTGGTTCTTGGGAGAACCTATCTGCTGGACCTTGAACACCCACTCTCCTCTCATTTCCAAGTTGTCTCAGAACTGAAGCAACATCCTGGGACGAATTAGAGATGCCTCCACTCAGGCACACGCCGGGGAGTGGGGTTGGAGCTTCTCCCAAGCCCCTGGCCTCTGGAGCACCTTCTTCGGATCCCATGTGGATTAAGACAGTTGAGGCGGCCGCCAGACTTAGCTAAAGGGTTGAGACTCCAGAAGCCAGTAGCGAGGGGGTGGGGAGTGGGGGGAGGCCTACGCCCCGCTTAGGCTCCAGTCCGGTTTTTGCCTCCGACTGCTGGCTTTTTTACCCGCCCCCCAAACTGGGGTCCTTCGCCCCGCCCCGCCCCGCCCCCCACCTTGGAGCAGGTGAGCAGTGGCCAATGGGTGAGCTCCGGGCAGGTGCCCGCTAACTCGCGCCTCACCACGCTGCTGCCTAGGCCAGGCTGGGCACTGCTGGGAGGACAGGGCGGGGGTCTGTCCGGGCTGGACTCGGGAAGGAGGGGGCCGAGCTTAGCCCACAAGCTGTAGAGGCAGCTCGTAGCAGCGCACCAAGCCCGCTTCAGTGCACGCTCCGGTAGCTCCCCGCTCGGCCACAGAGGCCCGCGCGCCTAGCTGTGCGCCGTGGCCGACTCCGCGTTCGCTGGCTAGCACGCCCCTCGCCGCTCCGCGCCTGGCTCACCCGCAGGGGCTGAGCGCGGGCGGGCGGGGGAGGTGAGGGGTACTGGTGTGCGTGCATGTGCCTGGCTGGGTGTACACCCCGCGCGGCGGCGGCAGCGCCAAGACGTGGAGCGCTTTCCAGAGCCCGGCTGCCTTTCTCGGCTCTGGCGCCCGCGACCATGTTCCAGCCTACAGCCAAGCGCGGCTTTACCATCGAGTCCTTGGTGGCCAAGGACGGCGGCACTAGCGGGGGCACTGGCGGCGGGGGTGCGAGCTCCCATCCCTTGGCTGCGGCCGCCTCGGAGGAGCCGCTCCGGCCCACGGCACTCAACTACCCTCATCCCAGCGCGGCCGAGGCGGCTTTCGTGAGTGGTTTCCCCGCTGCTGCCGCGGGCGCTGGCCGCTCGCTCTATGGAGGGCCCGAGCTGGTGTTCCCAGAGGCCATGAACCATCCCGCGCTGACCGTGCATCCTGCGCACCAGCTGGGAGCCTCCCCGCTGCAACCCCCGCACTCCTTCTTCAGCGCCCAGCACCGGGACCCTCTGCACTTCTACCCCTGGGTCCTGCGGAACCGCTTCTTCGGCCACCGCTTCCAGGGTGAGTGCCCACGCTGTGCCTGCCTAGGCAGTCGGCCCGCGCCCTTGCTGCAGTGGCCCGTGGGAGGCTCTGGGGCTCGAGGGGCTGTTCGGAAGTTGTTGCGAGAAGGCTGCTGGTCCTCAGAGGCCGATTCCCAAGCCGGGAAGAACAGCGCCGGATCCACTGCGCTTCTGCGGCGCTGGGCTCCCTCCCAGAGAGTCAGGTTGGGACCTCCAGGCTTTCCCGGTTACGATGCCAACCCGGACGCCAAACCCGGGAGCATCCTTGGAGCCCCTCCCGGTCTTCCCGGTCTTCCCAGTGGCCTGCCTTAATCTCTCCCGGTCGAGCCACTCTCAGCCCAAAGAGTTCAGCGCCCGCGCCCTCCCTCCTCCCGCTCTGGACCCGGGGCCAGACTTCGCTCGCTCGCACGTCCATCACCGACTCGCAGGGATCCCCAGAGCTGGCGCGTCCGAGCAGGGCAAAGTCCACCCGGTGCCTCGAGTCTGAAGGAAGAAGGGGCAGCGGGCAGGGGAAACTGGACAGTTAACGTGCAGTGTGGTGTTCTGCGTTGTCTTGAGATGTTTCTCAGCAACGCTGGCCCGACTTCTCCAAGTCGCACGCGCCTCTCGGACCCAGGGCGAGGAGGTTTGCAAGAGCGAACCAGCTTCCTCCGCCGTTTGCCTGCTCTGGGAGCCCGCCCGGCTGCTGCGGGACCCACTGCGGTCCTCCTGGGCAGGGGGCGGGGGCAAAAGCTTTTAAGGTCGTAGGCAGTTCGAGCCCCCTTGTCCGCTACCGGCAATGGTTTTGCTCACTGGCCTCACACGCACACACGCACGCACGCGCGCGCGCACACCCTGACTTGTTTCAAGGATCTGACTTTCCCCGAAGGAGAGTTGCATTTGTTGGAGTTGTTTTCTTCCTTGAATCTGTTGGAGTTTGTTTTTCTTTTCCCGTCTTTCTTTTCTTTTTTTAAGTAGCCATAATTGGCGCAGTAATCACTTTTTTAGTTTCCGGCTTTGTTTTGTCAGGGTAGACACGACCTCAGGGCCCGGGACTCGGAGCCAGGGAGCCCGACCTTCAGGGGAACAAACGATAAGGACGTGGCTCGAGCTCCGGCTCCCGGACCTGCACTGACGGCAAACCCATCTACCCACCCAAGTGAACTGGATGTTTGCTGCAACTACTTAGATAACAGATCATCTCTTTTTTAAAATGATCTCTTAAGAAAGGATTTCCGGGAGCATTGGCTACAGCTGTTCGTTTCAGGGGCAGCCGCTCCCCCAGGTCCCGATGTGTCGCCCCGTTTCCTGGGTCCCGTCCTGCTGGCTGACACGGGTCCGGTGGATCCCACGAAACGAGAGGATGTAATTACTTGAGCAAGAATTTTTGTGGCCACACGTCTCCCTCGGGGATTTCAAAGATTTGCCCCCATCATCCGGGGTGGAAGGAAGCCTGCGATGTCAGGCGACTGGGGCGAGGAACCTGTGAATTAAAAACAATGCTTACCGATAACATTAAATTTCATTCTGAATTGAGCAAACTGCCTGGGTCTTCCATGGACTCGGTTTCCGCCCCGAGTCTGGAAACCCCATGACCACCGACTGATGTGGGCGTCGCAGCTGCTCCTGAACCTCCGCACCAGGCGGGCCGAAGCCCTCGCGGAGGGGCGCCGCGTGGCCGAGAGGGCGGCGGCCGTGCGGAGCCCCGCGGTCTCCGCCGAGCCGGAAAAGGCCTCTGCCGCGGAGCCCCCGGCTCCGACCCGCGCCCGTTCCCTCCCAGCCGCCTCTCCCGACTCCGGCCTTCTCGCGCTCCCGGGCTCCGAGGGCCGCCCCGGAGAGAGATCCAGCTACGGTTCTAAGCATCCCCGGCCAGACGAGGCCTGATAAATCCTCCGCAAAACCCTTTCAGAAATTGCCGCCGCCGCTTGAGCGCTCAGTCCCGGTGGGCACGTTGTGGAGTTGGGCAAAACGGGTGGATTTCTCTCTCAAGAACCATGTCTGGATGCGGAGATGGAGCCAAGTGCGGCCGCGTTTTTGAACTTGGAAATTGGTTGGGCACTAAAGGACCTCAGAACCCTGAGACATCCCGGTTTCTGGCGGGTCAGCGCAGTGGCAGACCGGCACGCGCCCGCGGCTGTGCGCCCCGCGGTCCCCACGCGGCTCGGGGCTGTGAGCCGAGCCAGCCCACGTCTTCCCGCGCCGCGTTTTCTAGAGAACCGGGTCTCTTGCGATGCTCATTTCAGCCCTGTTTTAATACCAGAAATGAAACCCTACGGGAACGAAAAGGAACATGTCTGCACTCGATGCCCTGAACTCTCTAGCAGCCCAGTCCCTGTGAGCAGGGAAGAGGATTCTCCGCTGGCCAAGGCGGTGGAAGAGGAAAAGCCAGCGCTGGATGGTCAGAACTAGGCGGGGGGTCCTGAAGCAGGGTCGGCTTTTGAGGCCTGACGGGGAGGTGTCAGTGGAGACCAGGTGTTGGCTGGACTAGGTGCCATCAGGAACATCAGAAACTTTCCAAGCCACGGAGCACTCGGAAAGGGGCCTCGGGAGACCCAGTCCTCTGGGACCGGCGTTGGTCATGGGCTGGTGCTTCAAAGGGCGCCTTTGTTCCCACAGGAGGAGTGGAAATGAGGTTATCTCCATTGCCCGGCCAGCCTCTCCCTCTGGTAGCCCCAGGCCCATCCGCCCCGCCAACCTGCCGAGGCCTCTGCTAAAGGGACTGCGACTGGAGCCCCGGGCCCTTCAGTTCCCTAGCTCCCACCTCCAGGAGCCTTGCTCTTGGGGGTCTCTCTTGCTAGTTGCTAGCCAGTGCCTTGAAGTGGCCTGCAGAGAGAGGCTGGAGAAAACGGGGTTTGGTGGGGGTGGTTCAGTTGCAGGCTCCGGGGAAGGCCCAGCCAGCGCCTTGTTTTACTTTCCCACCTGTGCTTGTCTGACACCGCCGGCTCACTCTCAGGGCCCGGAATGACTGGATCCGAACAGGCCACGCTGCGCCCCGGCCCCAAACTTGCTCTGCCCCTGCGCTCCAGTTAAGGGAAACTACAGCCATGGTAGGGGTGGTCGAGGCCCCCACCCCACAGGGCAGAGCGAAGAGCAGTGCATGGGTCCTTACAGAAACGTGTAGATTTGATCAGTTTCTCTGGAGGGTTAGTTTTGCACTAAATATCTTCTTTCAGACAGGAAAGAGACCTGGTTCTTTGTCATCACGTGTCAGTACCTTGAATAATTTTTCTGACCAGAAAGGACCCCTAGGTTTCTGTGTGTGTGTGTGTGTGTGTGTGTGTGTGTAGTGAACTGAGGCCATTCTTTCCTCGAGGCAGCCCCCAAACAACCTAGCTTTCCCCTAAAATACCCAGACTGGAGGCGAACGGACATGTGTCTGTCAGAACGACAGAAACGCCTGTGGCTTCTGTCCTCCACTTTGGGTTTGTAGAGACAAACACAGCAAACTCCACCACACAAGAGAAGGACACAAATCACAAAATTATAAAATAGCCATCGAGTCACACACACTGAGGCCGCCTGCGGCCCTGCTCCCTCTGCTCCGCACTGCCCTTCACGCGTCCGCTACCCCCTGGCTCGCACCTGCAGGGTCCCGCTGCCGCCACGTCACTTCCGCCAGTCCCGCTGCTGGGGCCAGACCGTCCCAGTGCTGGGATGAGCTAGGCCCTCCCTCTTCCAGCAGAAACCACTGTTGGACTACACCTGGGCTCAGAACATGGCTGGTTTTTGAAGCAATTTATTTCAACATCAACAAGAAGTATCTGCTTCCCATTCACCTCTCCCACCTTTCTCTCACCCACATTTGAGATTTTATACTTTTTGTTCCTACCTGAATCAGGCTGCTCCTTTCTCTGCCTTGTACCCCTTTCTGTCGGACCACATTTCTGATTAGCTGTCCCCTCCACTGCCACAAGTTAAACTTCCCTTTCTTCAGTCAAGCCTGAGGGTTCATGGCCTGCCCCCATCGCGAAGGGCCCAATGGGCATAGTGTCCCCCTTCCATCTTCCTGTGATGTGATCCCACTCCCTTTTGTGGCAACACAGATTCAGCCACTTGAAATGGATAAGGTGACTGGAAACTGTGACTTCTCCGAGTCAGGGGACTTTGTCTCCCCCCAGGCACTCGCCCCTCATTCCTAGGCAACCCTCTTCTACAGAGGCTCTCAGCAATAAAGTTTGCCTCTGTTGGCGTCTGAAGCCCAGGGACTTGGAGAAAGTACTGTCAGGCAGTTTCCACCAGCAGAGGGATGTGAACCTGGAGAGTCTGAGAAACAGCATCTCAAGAATGTGCCCTTGATGCATTTAGACATTTCCAGAGATGGGATATCTCAACTTGAATGACCCAAACATTTTTCTTAAGAACAAAACAACAGGTCAAATCGAGTCAAACCAATGGCCATTTCTGAAGAAATTCATTGGATCAGTCAGTCTTGACAGTCTCTGACTTTGTCAAACATTGCATCTAGGGCTCTGCATTATTGTTGGGTGGGGAGACTGTTATGTGCCACCGCATGAGCTTTCGCGGGTGATTTCAGGGCCTCTTAGGGTCTGTTAGCATGTGCAGTCAAGCCGGACAGGGCCTGGGAGCGGGGCGGGATTCACTGAAACTGGGGCTATGGGTGGAAGGTTGTTTGGCTTAAGCAGTTTCTGACCCCACCGCCCCAGCCTCAGACAGTCCAATGTCAACCCCTTCTCCTGCATGAGGAGCTGAGTCTCCGTGATGGCCAGCATTTGCTGGGGGACAGTCACACTCTTTGAACATCCTATCTGGTACATGGGAGGAAAAGACAGTAGGGAGTCTGACGTGTGTATTTACACACACCAGGCGGAAACCAATATAGCTATATTTACATATTAATATGTTAGAGAGAAAGCTATCGAGATATTTACAAAAATGTTTCTTTAGCATGGGACTACGCAGGGATGAAGCAAGATCTTTCCCCATCAGAGAGCAGTCAGCGTCTCCTCTGAGGAGAGGCTGTTACCGGAGAAGAAAGAGGAGGGGGCTGCGGGAGGGTAGAAGAAGAACCTGACCTTAGACCTGCAGGTGCTGCCTGCCCATTGAACTAGCCGCGGGCCTATTTTTACCACTTGCAAGGTAGAGCCTGGGCCTGTCCCTAGGCATTTTCAAGGGGCTAGTAGCCTGAGCAAAGTTGGGTTAAGCAGGTGTGAGCGGGGAGCTCCTGGAGTATCTTCTAGTTCCTGAATCTGTGTTTGGCTGGGGATGACTAGCAGTTTTATGTCCCCCGTGTCACCTTTCCGACACCCAGCCCTTTCTCTACTCTTGCTCCACCTGGAAGGAGATAGAATGGGGCAGACAGAAAAAAAGAGCTATGGGACTTTGCTCGCGCCTTGGCCTCTTGGGTTGCTCCAGGCACAGTGGATTTGGGCCGACTGGCTCGGCGAGGCTCGCAACCCGGTAGCTGTGGGAGTGCGGGGAGGTGTTGGAAAGGACAGTGGATTTAAGGAAGGGGAGGCAAAAGGGAAGGGGGAGAAAGGAGGGGGTCAAGGTCTGGAGAGGGGAGCGGAGCTCTCCAGTTAGTACGCGTGCAGGCAGGAGATGCCCCGGGCTGCGGCTCACCGGGCCACTTCTCTCTGTCTGTACTTGCGGTGTTGCCGTCGGCGGCGCGGCAGCAGCGAGCGACGTGCCCCAGGATGGGCTGCTTCTGCACGGCCCCTTCGCGCGCAAGCCCAAGAGGATCCGCACGGCCTTCTCTCCCTCGCAGCTGCTGCGCCTGGAGCGCGCCTTTGAGAAGAACCACTACGTGGTGGGCGCCGAGCGGAAGCAGCTGGCCGGCAGCCTCAGCCTCTCGGAGACGCAGGTAATAATCACCCCGCCAGCGTGGGGGCGGGCGGGGAAGGGAGCGGCCCAGTCCTCCCGCGCCGGCCTTCCCCGGAGCCCTCTCGGGCCCAGCTCCGAAAGCCACCCCGGCGGCGCCCGGGCAGAGCCTGTTTTCAGAGCCCCGGGCCTCCAACGGCGGTTAGCCTCCCAGAGGCCGCGAGGCTTAATCAAGCCCTGAGGACGCGCCGGGAGGTGGGATCCAACCTCATCGGGAGTCCGCTCCCAAAGCCCAAAGGAGGTGCCAGGTTATCAGGAGGAGGCGAGACCGCTGCCACTCCTGGGCCGCACCAGTGGGCACTGAAGCCATCTCAGCGCTGTCTACTGACCCCCCTCACCCGCCACTCTCCCGGGGCGCTCGGGCTTTCGTGGGACGCTCAGGCCTCCCTGCAGGGCTTTGCTGCCGCTCGTGGGCAGAGCTGGCAGAGGCTTCAGCTCTCCACCAACGGGTGCGGTAGGGGGACAAAGCCCACGTGTCCTCACGGTAGAAACGTCAGAAAACAGGAGGGGGCAAGCTAGGGAGCGGCTGGCCTTGCTTGGGGTCGGAGGATGGAGCATGGCCCTGATCTCCGCGCAGGCCGGCTGGCAGGGAGCCGTGGCGACGGCCCTGGAAATGCGAGGGCATCGACGGGGCCCAGGAATGGAGGGCAAGCACATCGGGGTATTCAGGGCTGTCTCATTCACCCGAAGGGCTGTCGAGTTGGGAGAGAAGAAACTCCGGGGAGGGGGGGCTTGAACTGGGTGAAATTACAATGACCACGTATTGTCGTCATGGATAACTTTTTAAAAATTAAAGAAGTAGATGGGCGTTATAAGGAAGCAGATTTGGGCTGGCTGTAAGAAAAGGCTTTTCCGTAAGTAAATGCTGCCTGGAATCCTACGCTTTGGGCCCACCCCAGCACGGCCCGCTGAAGGGCCCGCTGCTGCCCTGGCGGTGGATCTCAGCGTCCGGATGGGCCCCGGAAGACCTTGCTCTCTTCGGTTCTGTGTCAGCTCCCAGGTTTGCAAAGCAGAGAGGTCTGCAGGCTGGCCTAGCATTTCACCATGGCTCCCCTTTCCCGTACTCCTCGGCTCTCCTACCGTCATCACCCTCCACCTTACTCACGGACCAAGAGAAGGCGCTGGGCTAGGCCTGGTGGGAGTGGGAACGTGTAGAGGGGAAGCCCGGGATCTCCTGGGGAGCAGTGGGGGTAGGAAGGAGGCTTAGTGGGGCAGTCCAAACCCTAACTGCGTCCCCAGCTCCCTGGGGCCCGCGGACCCTCAAGGACTGGTCCTCGCGTTGCATTCTGGTATCTGTTACCTACTCTCTGTCTGATGCCCCATTTAATCAATGCTTTGCTCCCGTCTCCACTACCGGACTTGTGTGTTTTTTGTTTTTGTTTTTGTTTTTGTTTTTTTTTAATTTGCTGGCTGGGTTCCTCTAACCATAGAGGTAAAGCTTATAAAACAACAGAGTTAAATATAAAAATATTTTTTAAAAAGATGTCTTAAAAACATCTTAATAGATGTTAATAGAACAATATCTCCCTTTCCCTCCTGGTCAACAGCATTTTAAACTTGTCTAAAACAAGCTGTTGAGTTAGGAATGGTGTTTACAGTTAACTTCATTTTAAAAGTGGTAGATATTAAATTTGAATCGCATAAGTGTAAAAAAACAAAAGGGTTTATAATCCCACCGCCCACAGATTAACACTTGTTGAAATAATATTGTTTTAAACTTTCCACTTTTTTTTTTAGCACCGTGAGGGCATTTTTAATTAGCTTTCTTTAATTGAACCTAGATGCCTGACAATATTTGCTCCTAACGATGCCAGTTAGTAAACATAATTGTTTCTTTCATTTTTATTGTAAAATGTTTCAAACTTATAGTTTTGAAACAAACAGAACAGTTTCACTATCAAAACTCATGTCTCATCTTGTCTCATCTACATAGGTGAGCTGGTTTTAGCATATGAAACACAAAAATACTAATAGAACTGCAGGAGGTTTGAGCCTGGGAAACCTTCTAGAGGCCGGCTTTCCAGGTGGGGGCGCTGAGCGGGAGGGACTGGGCAGAGCCCCCCAGGCAGGCAGGTGCGATTTTGCCACCTGCCTCCCTGCTCACGGCACGACCCTTGGGCGAGGTACTCCACCTCCCTGCGCTCTGGTTCCCTCTTCCAGAAAATAAGTTGTTTAAAGATTAAAGGCACTTAATATTAACTCATGTAATATTAACTGTAATCTCCAGTCCTTCTCATCCCTTTATTTAAAGTAATATATCAGTTTAGCATTATCATAAAATCCAAATCTGGGCTACCTGAGTCTTACTTAGTCCAGCGTTCTTTCTGCTATGTCCACTCCTTTATCACCAGGGCTGTCTTTCTTTCCTCTCCCGACTTACCATGTGGACCCAGGTGATGTCATTAATTGCCTAGCCATCTTTCACTATTTACCAGGTGAGCCTACCTGTCATTTCCAGCTCTCAGCTACTTGTCAAGCATTAGTCATTCCCATCCGCCCCCTGCCATTTATTTCTATTGTCAATATCTATATTTGTCTCCTGGAGCTCCCGAATCTGTCCCTCACAGAAAGCTGTTGTATATCTAGCCATGTACTTATGTCTGTTCTCATTAAACTACCTCCCAAAGCTGGTTAACTTATACTTCCTCTTAATGATAATCTTCCTAACAATAACTCTTATTTATCCCAGTGTCAGTTATCTCTTTATCATCTATTTTGCTTTATCTTCTGTGTATACACTATCCATGTTAGACTTCTGTCTCCGTAGATCTGTTTAGCAACCGACAGATAGTACGATGTATTTCTGCCTCCGCTAATGGTTATCTGCCATCTCATCAGTTCCAGCTTTGTCTTCTTTCAGAGCCTCATTTGCTTTACCTGTAAGTCAGAATGAAGTTAACTCCAGGTTTCCTTCCAGCCCTGAGTTTCTGGCTCCTCTATATTCTACTTCTCCGTGTTTCTATGTAATCCCTCCTCTAAATTCTCAGCGCTCACGTATCCAAACATGCACAGGACTGTACTGCCATGTCCAATGTCAGTCTGCAGGCAGGCTGTGTCTGTCTTACAAAGAAATCTTAAAATATAGACTCCTATACTTCACTCAGGAGATTCTCTTAGAGGCTTTGGGGTGGGATCCAGGAAAAGTTTTTAAAACCACTCTCTGGGTGATTCTGATGAACAGCTGGCCTAAGCAGCTCAGCCAGGGGAGGCAGGAGCCAGGATTTCCTGTTTGTTGCTGTACCTTGAGCACAGTACAGTGACCAGCAAGGAGTTGATGCTCCGTAAATATGGAATGAGTGAATGGCCAAACTTCTCCTGATTGTAAACATACCCATATGTTAATTTTATCAGTCATTTCCCTTACTATCTGCTCTCGCTTCTCCGTGTACCTCTGTTTTCTAGATTGTTGATCCAGATGATCTAGTTTTATCCATGGGTCACTTCTCCGTGTACCTCTGTTTTCTAGATTGTTGATCCAGATGATCTAGTTTTATCCATGGATAAAGCTTCTGGGAAGTGTAGGCAGATCAGTGTGTGGATCTTAATCCGGAGCTCAGGGGTCTCTGTACACCCAAAGCTTTATCATGGAGTGTCGGGAGCGGGCACTCTGAGCTTCTTTGTTGGGGCGGGGCTGTATGTGTGGTTGGGAGTATGGTGTTTGTGCTGGTACAACAGTGGCTTTATCCAGGAGGTACAGGGAGGGGTCCCCAGGCTCTTCACCCTTCTGGCTCTAATCACTTGCTCCTGACTTCTGTGGTCAGACGATGCCCAGCTAACTTCAGTCCTGGTGGCTAGGTCAGATCAAAGCCACGAGTGCAAGCGAGTGTGAGTGTGTGAGTAATGGGTATGTGTGCCCACAACGTGGGGCACATATAGGCTTAGTGTTACTGATGCCCAAAGGTCAAGTGATATCACGTGTATACATCAGATGCCAGCAAGCCATCATATAGCATGGAGTGCAGCTTGCGTGCACATGTGTGAGGGGAGCGAGTTCATTTCAGGGGGAGTGAGAGAAAGCATCGGTTGCTCCAGCTGCCCTTCCTGCTCTGAACAGTTCTGCAGGTGTTTCTTAACCTCCCTTGGCTCTAAGTTGTGCTGAGCTGAGAGGGGAAAAGGAGCAGAAGTGGGGTCTTTGGCCTTGGGGATTCCTCACTTAGTGGTGGAACCTAAAAACAAAGTGTGCATACTTGTGGGACAGGCACAGGATGAGCAACTGGAGTCCCTTTGAAGTCAGAGGTGTAGGCTGAGGGAGGTCAGGGGAGACAGGCATGGTGATCCCCCGAGAGCGAGGGCAAGCCTCCCTAATGGGCTAAGAGAGGAGATGAGAAGGCTAAGGAAAAGATAGGGCCTCGGTTGTCGGGGGTCAGAGGTGACCTCACTTTGGTGGGGTGAGAGTTGAGCTGTTGAACTTAGCATGGCATTGGGCTTGACCTGGAGAGTGGGAGCAGTTCACAGGGTCAGATGATAGGAAGTGGACCCCTCCTCATGTTGTGCATGTCCCACAGGGTGAGAGGACAGCGAAAGGAGCAGGCTGAGGGGTGATTTGATTGATGTCTCCAAGCCTCTGTCAGATAGAGGACTTTCTCTGTGTCTGATGATGACAGATTAGGAGGACACAGGGCTAAATTAAAACAGAAGAGAGGCATGGGGCATAGGAGGAACTTTTTGCATCAGAATTACAAAACCCAAATACCCTTTACCAAGGGTATTTGAACTCCTTGAACAGAGGACATGTATTCACCTGAAAGCACGCAGGTGTCAGGAGCCACACACTCTTCCATCTGGAAGAACTAAGGCTGGGTACTGGTGGAAAAGAAGGGATTCAGACCTGGCTCACTCAAATAGCAGATTATTGAAAAGTTAAGTCTGAAATATTGGCTGGAGCTATCGTTTGCTTGTTTGGAAGTTTCTTTGTCCATTCACTCATGCATTCACACATGCATGTCTTTATTCATTACTGCATAAATTGATTGATTCACTAAGTCACTGACTGATCGATCTATCCATCCATCCATCCATCCATCCATCCATCCACAGCAGTTTTACCTTCTTCATCTTACCTGACTCAAGTTGACCCTTGTGCCTCTTAACAATGAGTCTCCTTCCCCCAGCTTCTTCATACAAGTGGTTAATATAGTCCACAACTTGGAAAATTAAGAATTGACCACCTTGTGGGTTAAATGGTGATGGAAAAAATACAATAAAATTTTTTTAAAAAAGAATTGACCATCTTGTAGAAGTGTCTACTGAACTAAGCCAAAATAGGATCCCATCTCTTCAGCCACTAGCACTTTCCAGACCCCTTTTTTAATTAGACCTCAATCCCTCTGCCATTGATTTTTCTCCTTTTTTCTAGATCTGGCCCAGAGCATAGGGCTGGGTCACCTCATCTCTGTCCAGCTGGCTGAACAGACCTGGAACGTGCCCACTAGGACTCCAGAGTGAACTAACTCACTGCTTTGGTTCTCCAGGTTCCCACAGTCTGGTGAGGAGATAGGTTCAAGCAAGTAAATGAGTGTGCTGCTTGGCTCACTGTTACTGAGACAGAGAAAAGTACTGAGGAGGAACAGATGGGCAATGGGAGAAGGGTTCTGAAGGCTGAGTACGAGGATTTCAGGTGGGGTAGGTAACTCAGGCAGAGGCAGAGACTCTTGGAAGGGGTCTGGCTTGTCTAAAAAACTGAGACGTTCAATGAGGTACAAACATGGGAGACCATAAGGAACCTTTCCCCAAACCCCAAGGTCTCAGAGACGGGTGAGGTTTGCCCAGCCAACAGACCCAGCTGTACCTTGGAAGCTTAGAGAGCGGTGTGTGGGTGTGGGTGGGGAAGGTACGGAAGAAGTACAGGCTCCTAGGGCTGGTTCTCACCGAGCCGCTAGCCACACTCTGTGGCCTGGTTCCTTTCTAGGTTCTGTCCTCTAGGGAAGGGGCTCTGGGTACCCCAGAGTTGCCCAGCTGCGTTGGTGAGGCCACGGATGTCACTCTTATTTCAGACTACCCTCAGATCCCAGTTCTTTTTCTTTTCCAAGGGAAAAAATAACTGTCAATTCTTATCAGTAATGCATTAAAGAAAATTCAGAAAAGTGGAGAAAAGAAAGAAAAGTGACCCTTGGTTTGGTTACATTTCCTTCTAGTCTTTTTTCCCATGCCGAGCTTTTGTTTTCCCGTGGCTGATGGCTGTGATCATACTGTGCCCAAACTGTGCATCCTGCCGTTTTCACTACTGTTACTAAGTCATAAGCATCTCCCTGTTGGTACAGTCTTTGTAAACAGCATCTGGACACTCAGCCCAAGGCTGCTCTCCAGAAGACAGCCAGGCTGCCTGGGGATGGGGCTTAAGGCCCTGTCTCTAGACAGCTGCTTCCTTGACACCAGTTGTTTTCATGGAGAAAATATTCAAAATCACCTTTGATTTGGGTGTGCCAGGAAGCTGCCCCTGTGCCCGAAGTTGCAGCAATGAAACTTTCCCTCTCTGGATCAGCGACTCTGGGCAAGGGTAGCAGACTCGGTCCATCCCACTACAGACGTCTCCTTCCTGGAAAGAGAAACGGAAGTGTGTGAGAGGGAGAAGGTGCAGAAAGGGGCCCTCTGTCCCTGGTACTGCCCCGGGCTGCCCCAGATCACCCTGTTATCAGGCCGGCCATGTCTAACCCTCAGCCAGCCCCTGGGGCTCTGAGGAATGGCACCCCAGACCAGTATCCAGGTGTGACTCATGTATATGCCTTGCACAAGAGGCAGGGCAAGCTCACCCACCTACTGGACGGCACAGTCACAGCAGGCTCTGGGCGGGGGTGGGGCAGGGGCCAGGCTGGCTGCCGGTGGTTATCCTGAGAACCACCCAAGGGTCTGACTGGCCCTGTGCCTAGGGCTCCTGCCATCCTCCTCATCTGCCCGAGGTGAGACATGCAGCAAGAGGTTTGAACCCTGCCCTGGAAATGAGGGGAGAAGACCCTCCCCTCATTTTTTTGCCTGAGGCCAGGCCCCCATCTCTTCCTGTCCCTGGCTGGCTGCTCTGCAGTGCAGCACTGAGCACCAGTTGTCCCCACCCTCGTCCCAGTGCTCTAAAATCAAGGGGCAGGACAGAAGGTGCTGTGGAGACCCTGGTGGGGGACAGTGGCTATGGGAGCGCTGGGTTGGGGGGGTTCCATGGAAGGGACACAGGGGAGTGTCTGGGAATCGTGAAGGTGGGGCCTCCTGTGCAGGAAATGGCTCCCTGGGCCTGGATGCCGGGCCTGCTTTTGGCTGCCATTGCCTGGCATCATGGCAAAGGCCTTTGCCTTCTCTTTCTCAGGGAGTAGGGGCTGGACTGGGTAGGCTTTCTAAGGACTGCCCCCAGCCCTGACCAGGAATCAAGGATCTCCTTCCAGCGGTCACTGCTGCTGCCAAAACCAAGGTGCTCGCCATCAGCCCACACCCCCGACTTACCGTTCAGCACCGGCATGGGCACTGCGGATCGCCCTGCCTGCATCTGACGGTGCTTGCCTTCAGATGCGCTCATTTCCAGGACACCGTCAGTGCTTTGTAACCCTGCCCACTCTGCATCCCCTTCCCCAGAGACCCTCGAAGGCAAAAGCCCAGGAGGTGCCCTGGAGCCACCAGGCCCCCAGGAAGCAGTTCTCCCATCAGTGAGGGATTTAAGCACAGAGCGGAAGGACTGTAGCAGAGGATCAGCACCCAGGCCCCTGCTCTGACACAGGGTGATCTGGTCTGGCTGGGCTCCGCAAGGCCAAGTAAAAAACTGCATGGGCAGGAGGAGTTGACAGAGGGAGCATGTGACAGCCTCATATGTTCTCTCATCTCTGTTCCTATGTCCCTGTGGAGGAGTGATTACAGGCTGCAGAACCCGGGTCTGCCCCTCTGCTGTGCCAGTGGCTACAGGGTGCTCCGCAGCCACACGCCCCCTCCCCTCCCTCTGCTGAGGGACAGGAAGACTGCCCCTTTCTGGCCCAGGTGTCCTCTCCAGGCCTAAAGGCCTCCAAACCCAAAGTGGCAGCTGGCCAGAGGAAAGCACCCTGGCCTTAGTTTCCCCATCTGGCTCCCAGCCCAGCCTGAGTGCTGAGGCCCCGCCCCTACCCCCATGGCTGCTCTGGGTGTTTCTCACCTGTGCCCCTCCCTCCCTCCCCGGCTCAGGTGAAGGTGTGGTTCCAGAACCGGAGGACAAAGTACAAGCGGCAGAAGCTGGAGGAAGAGGGGCCCGAATCCGAGCAGAAGAAGAAGGGCTCTCACCACATCAACCGGTGGCGCATCGCCACCAAGCAGGCCAATGGGGAGGACATCGATGTCACCTCCAATGACTAGGGTGGGCAGCCACGAACCCGTGAGGGCAGAGTGCTGCTCGCTGCTGGCCAGGCCCCCGGATGGGCCCAGCTGGACTCTGGCCACTCTGCGGCCGGGCTGCGGGAGGCTCCAGTCACAGCCCCACAGGGCACGGAGCCTGGGGCTACCACCGGCAGAGGGACAAGAAATGGGCTGGCTGAGGCCTAGGACTGCTCGACCTTCTCCTCGGAGAACTGCCTGCCTGCCTGCCTGCCTGGGCGGGCCGACAGCCGTCGCTGCCTCCCGACCGTTCTCCATTTCTCTTTTTGTTTTGATGCATTTCTGTTTTAATTTATTTTCCAGGCACCCACTGTAGTTCTTAGTGATTCCCTGTGTTTCCCTTCCCAGTGGGAACAATAAAAGTCTCTTAATGACATGGGCATCTAGCTCCAACCCAGAGCCTGTGAGCCTGGGGTGGTGGGTTTTCATTCCTCGGGCCAGTGGGGACTGGCAGAGCAAGCTTGCTCAGGACCTGGGACCTGGCGTGGGGCCTTGGAGATTCAGTTTATTAACTCCTTTCCTTTGTGGTTCATCGACCTGGCCTCTAACTCTACCTCCACGAAAGAAGCCGAGGCCAGACAGGGAAGAGCCACCCTGTGTATGAGGAAGGCCACGGCCAGGTCTTTTCAAACATGTTGAGCCATGAGAATCAGACCTAGGTGGCTCAGGGGAGATGAAGTGTGCGCACTGCCCCACGCCAAGGGACTCTGGTGGCTTCTCCAGCGGAGGGGGAGCCAGAGGAAAAGGGGAGTACTGGGTGCTGGTGGAGGGGACACCCTTCACAGGGGCTGACATGCGCACCTGTCCTTGGAGGAGCCCCCTGTGCAGATTAAAGCTGCAGAGACAGGGCGTGAGTGTGAGCCTGCAACCAGTGCCCGGGCCTCCAGCTGGGAAAGGGCTTCAAGGCCGGCTCCACCGAGCCCTTTAGTTCGCCTGCCCTTCGCTTCGCCCATGTGTCTTACCCGCTTGTCACACACCAAGGTTTCCTTCATCCTAATAAAGTAAAACCTGTGTTCCTAACAACCTCTCCCTGATGAAACCCAGACCTGCTTCTGCTTCTTCACTTCCCGAGCGGCCCCCCACTTTCTCCTGACGCCGACGACAGTCTGCTACCCCGTGTGGCCAAGCTCAGCTGCCTCTCACCTGGCCTCGTCTGCACCCTGATCTTCCGGTCATTGCCCTCTGACTCCCCCAGCCCTCTCTGCTTTCATCTGGGTCCCTCTGACCCCTCATTCCTTTGCCTGTCCGAGTCCTTCCAGGCACGGATTCTACCTGAGCTGTGCCTTTACTTACCCTGTTGTTGATGCCTGGAACATGCTGGGCGCTCAGTCAATGGAGGTCTTTAGAAAGGTGTTCAAGGCCCAGCCTTGTTGCCTGGGGCCACCTAGGGACCAGAAGGTCCTCCTGCTGGTTCTGTCAGCACCCCACTTGGGCCAAGAAACCAAAGGGCTTTGTCCTATCCCATTGCCACTCTCCCCATCAACCAGGAAAACGCGTCCCTCCCGTCCTGAGTAAGTCCAGATCAAACCTGAGGTGGACTCCTTCACTGTCAGGCAAGGGGGTGACCTCGGGAGCATATATGCACAGGTTGGAAAGGCTGAGAAGGGGAGGCATCCTTCTGGCTCCTGTAGGGCCGGAGGAATGGGTGAGCCATTCCTCTCAGGATTCTCTCTCGCTGGGTGGGGGAAGGGTGCAGGGAGATCACAGCAGAGCACCCCCTGTCATCCAGAGAAAGAGCTGGAAAGGATCCAAGGAAACCTGCCAATCTTCCCAGGCCAGGCCTGCCGGGGGTGGGGCGGGAGTCCCCACAGACTCCCATCCATCCCCCATGTTGTGCCTCTCCCCGCAGACGGTAAATATTGGTGTTGTGACTTCATTAATAAAGGCTTCTGTGAGCCTGAAAAACATGGAATCAGGATGAACTATTTTCTGAGCTGCGGGCTTGCCAGGTTTGCTAATTTGGGAGTTTTTGGGCCCTCTCCAGGGAACAAACCAAAGTCTCTCTAAAAGAGACACAGATGCAGCCGGGAAGGGGAGAAGAAGCCTAGGAATGATGCTCCTCTCCCTCCCCCAACTGCTCCTCCCCCAGGAGATGAGGGCCTGCACAGCTAAGCACAGGTGGACAGGAGCTGCCGGGTCAGGCCTTCCCGGAAGCAGTCTGCTGGGTCACGGCCCCGGTGCTGGCCCCCGGGGCCTGTGAGTGTGATGGACTGGGGTGTGATGAGCACCTGTGGGAACCCGAGTTGCATGTGGCTGAAGCAGAGGGAATACGGGGAGCTGTTCCTAACTCTCATGGACTAAGCCCTGGGTCTCGAGTTCAGGGAATGATCTTTCCACATCCTCTTGTCCTCAGAACTTTCTGGACGTAATCCCTCTGGCCTCCACAGCAGCACGGCTCATGCTTTTAGCATCTCTGCACTCAGTTTACACCAAGTCCTCCTCACGAGTGCTATGATTCCTTCCCGTGGGACTCTGTGCAACCCTGGCCTTCTGAACTGGGTTCTGGCCAGAAGGGAGCCAGGCTGGACCCAAGGGCCTCTCCCAGAGCCCCTGCTCTAGGGCAGCCGCGCAGGGGGAGGGGCAGGGAGGCCAGCAGGCTGAGCGGAGCGGGCCCAGCCAGCTTTCCTGTCAGACAGGCGCTGCCAATGCGGAGCCAGACGTCAGAACAGGTTTAACCAATTATCCGAGCGCCCCATCTGCTGTCTGGGGTGTGTGTGAGGGTGAGTGCATGTGAGGGTGTCTGGGAGTGTCTGGTCTGGGAAGGCTGTGGGCGTGTGTGCATGAGTGTGGCTGTGGGTGTGTGTGGGCATGCGGCTGAGCATGTGGGCAGCGGCTGGCTGCGTGTCGCGGTCATACTGCCTCATTTATCAAAGACCATGGCTACCTGCTTAGGGTCTTCCTGCCCCCAGACCTGGGGGTCTCCACAGACAACCACTCAGCACCTCAGCCTCTCATTCCCTACTCTCCTCGTCACCGCCCACCCTCAGGCCTCATTAGACCCCCGAATTGTGGCTGCTCTCAGATCACCCATCAGATGTCCTTCCTCACCAGCCCCCGTGTTCTCGCTCAGTTTTCCTCTGCATCTGTGCTTTGACCTACCGGCCCCTCCTGGCCACAGGCACCTCTATTCTCTTGCCAACATCCTCTCGTCCCACTGTTCCTTAGTTGTACCAACCTGGCAAAGTCCTGGACTTGCCCGAACCTGTCTCCCTGCCTGCCCTGGCAACTGAGTCTGTGAGGACATCAGGCGAGCTTGCTGCATGGCAGCCCCGGAGGGCCGAGGCCCCAGCTTCAGCAGAGGCCTCAGTGCTGTTCAAGGGTTCACTCCTGTTCTCCACCGGGGATGTCTCAAATGGCCATCTGGCCATCCTTCTCCCCACGCCTCTTCTCTCCCTTCCCCTCAGCAGAGGACTTTACTTCCATCTTTGGAGAGAAAATAGGGGCAGGGGAAGAGAACAGCTTCACAGCAGTCAGGGGTTTGGCAGGAAGAGATGGTCCCTTTGAATGGGGCACATTGAGGAGAGTTGAATGAAGGAACAATGAACAATTTCCAGAAGCCAACAAGAGATGTTGCAGTACACTGAGGCTAGCAACAGTGGGGAGCCCATACGGCCCTTAGAAAAGAGGCAAGGGGCAGCAGCGGTCACCAGAACCAGAGAGGACAGCTGGACGGAGAGGGTCCCGGAGAGAGCTGTGGCCTTCGGAGCAGCAGGCCCACAGGCCACAGGGGACGCCAGGGGGGATAAAGGCCCCAGTGTCACTCTCCTCCAAACCTCCATTTTCCTGCCGGTGACTCCCAAGGGTCGGGGGTGGACATCAAGTCCATTCGAGTCAGCCTCCTGGGATGGTCAGCTGGTGGGAAAAGGTGCAGAGCTGATCCGGAGGGCCCAGGGAAGCTCGCCTCCCACTCCCCCCCGCAGCTCCCCACCCTCCACCCCACACTGCCAGCACTCAGCTCCTCCTGTCTGCCTGCCTCTGGTCACTCCCCAAGGAGGATTCTCCCCGCACCCCGGAACCTCGCTCTTGGGTGGCTCTTCCTGTTCCTTTTCTGCCTCTGCCTTCTCTTCTGCTCTAACCCATTAGAGTTTTAGTAGGACCAAGGATCTCCCACCTAAAGCCCTCTCAGAGCCCTATGTCACGCCGTAGCCATTGTCATGTCTCTCTGCCCAACCCACAACCAAATTTCTTTAAAGATTAGCTACCCTGGCAGTTGGTGGGAGTCCTGCTAACTTCTCGACCCATGCAGATCTGGCTTTTGCCCTCACCACACTCCACTGAGACCATTATCTGCAGGTCCTTCCAAGGGACACACCCTGTCTTCATGTTTCTTCAACTCTCAGCACCTACTAAGTATGTGGACAACCTCTTACTTAAAGGATGCTCACCTCTTATCCTCTGAGGTACCACACTCTCCTCATCCTCCTCTTGCCTCTCCTATCTGTTTGCCTCGACAAGCACCGTGGCCTGGGCGGCGTAAACAATAGACATCTTCTCTTGGTTCTGGAGGCTGGAAGTCCAAGATCAAAGTGCCAGATGGCTGGTTTTCTCTGAGGCCTCTTTCCTTAGCTTGCAGATGTCTGTCTTGATGTTTACATGGTATTCTTCCTCTATGCACGTCTGTGTCCAAATTTCTTCTTATGAGAACACCAGCCACACTGGATCAGGACCCGCCCTACTGACGTTGTTCTACCCTAATCACCTCTTTCAAGACCTGACCCCCAAATACGGTCGCCTTCTGAGGTACAGGGGATTGAGACTTCGACATCCGAATTTGGGGGGGACACAGTTCATCCCATAACACTTCCTAGCAGCCTCCTGCCTCTGTGTCCAGGCCCTGGAGATGGGGACTCCTGGAGTTGACATCAGGACTTCCTCTCCTCACCCCACATGCTACCCTGGGCAGTTGTTGCTGGTCCTTTAACTCCAGGTGCTCGCAGTGAATGGATGACTTGACGCTCTATATACGCAACCTCCGCCTCCTCCCCAGTTCCAGATAAGCACGCCCATCATCTCCTGACCTCTCAACTTGGTTTTTTTCTTTCTCTTTTTAAAAGATTTTATTTATTTTTAAAGAGAGGGAAAGAGAGGAAGAGAAACATGTATGTTGGTTGCCTTTTGCACACCCCCAACTGGGGACCCGGCCTGCAACCCAGGCATGTGTCCTCACTGGAAATTGAACCAGTGGCCCTTTAGTTTGCAGGTTGGCACTCAATCCACTGAGCCACACTGCCAGGGTTCAACTTGGTTTTCTTACAGGAACCTCTATTGTAAAACAGAATGTATCACCTTCTCTGCAGATTTCTTCTTCCTTCTCTGTTCCTTAGCACCAAGAAATGGCACCACTCTCTACGTCCTCAGCTGCCCAAGCCAGGGACTTGGGGCCATCTTTGACTCCTTTCTGCCACCTTCCCCATGATCAACCACCAAGAGCCGAGCAGTCCCGATATCTTCACTCCTCTCCATTCCCACCCCACTGCCTGGCCCAGGCCCCATGTTCCTCACCTTGACTGCCCAGCAGCCTCCTCCCCAGTCTGCTCAGAGTCTTGCTAGAATCCACGCTACACTCTCCTCTGTAAGCAGATGAACCTCTTCCCAGGGAAAGCCTCTGATGGCTCCCAGCTGTCCATGGCCCTGCGGCAGCTGGCCAGCTTTCACCTCCAGCGTCTTGCTGGTTCTCTAACAACCAAGCTTCTGGCAGCTCAACTCCGGAGGAAGTGAGGGTCCTGCCGTCTTGTCCCCCCCTCTGCCAGGCTTACCTGTGAAGAGGAGAACCAGCTCAAGTGGGTGAGGGGACAGCCCCCTTCCCCCACTTCCTCACTGGATTTGCATGGGGTATTCAAGAGGGTCGTCGGCCTGTTTGCCCTTTTGTCCACCTTCTCTTTCCTCTTTTTGTTCCCTCCTTCTCTCAGTCCCTCCAAATGGCCCAGGGAACCGGGGCTGGCGAGGGTGGGGCGTGGAGGCCCAGACTCTTGCTCAGTCTTCAGGGGTGTCGTTGTGGGGGAGGAGCTAGACTCTGATCTTAGACGAGGCTGCCAGCAGCTGCCTCACCTGGGCACGGGGCATGGAGAGGGAACGGTCCCTGGCCAGTGCCCGGGGAGACACCTGGCACAGCAGGGAAGCAGGGGCATGCAGGGGGTCAGGCCCTGTGGGGCGTGGCCAATAGGGTCCTGTTTTGCGGGCTCATGAGTGAATCGGGGATGGGTGAGATGGCAGGAGCAGCAGCAGCTCCAGGAGGCCGGGGGAAGCCGCATTCTGAAACCGAGGCTGGGCTCCCCAGAGCCTTGAGAAGAGGTCACTCATCACCGCCCTCATCCCCTCGCTTTCTGACTCTCCTTCTAACAGTGGCTTGAGTGGGAGGAGGGAGGCCTGGGGGCCAGCGATGGAAGCCACATTCCTGGAGTGTTAATGATCTCTGAGCTGGGCAGGAGCTGAGACCCCAGACCAGCTAAAAACAACAAACAACTCCCTGGAGGGATTTGTGTATGTCCTGAGACTCAAGGATTTCCGCCCACCCGGATGGGGGGCTGTGGCTAGTGGGGCTCTTAGCAAAGAAATTCCCTGGAGACCAGAAGGCCCCTGACCCAGAAGTATCGCTCAGGGAACAGACCCTTCCCCCACCCCTTTCCCCCTGGTGAGGCCCAGCACCTCTGACACTGGGGAGGGTGAGAGAAGAGTCTGGGTGAGCTCCTCACCTGGTCTCTCCAATCTCCTTACACCAGTCTGGCAAGTGATGCTGTTCTTGACATTTACAGCTAAGGACATCAAGGCTCTGCCAGAGAATACGTTCTGCAAATGTCCGACCCACCCAGAGACGGGGTGGATAAAGGGAGCGACTGTCCAGAAGTCACAGGATTATGCTGGGGCCAAGCTGGGGCTGGAACTTGGGCTGGGCTGACCCCAATCACAGACCCCGCCCCACTGCACGGTCACCCTGCCCTGGGAGGCATCTGCTTCTCCCTGCACGAGCGGAAGATGCTTAAAGGCCCCAGAGAAGAGGCCAGGCCTCACTTTTTCAGGAACTCTGTGACTGCCTTAAAAGGAGGAGCCAGAGCTATCCCGAGGCAGCCAAGCCTGGCCTGAGGGTCTGTGGGGCTTTAGGCAGGGGCAGAGTCCCAGGGCTGGTGGTGGGCACAGTGTGGACACCAGGCACCTCTCCACTGCGCACAAACCTTTCCTTCTCTCTTGGCCCCCAGGCAGGCCAGAATGATCACCCCCAGCACCTTTCTTCTAGGCCCCTTGACATAAACAGTGTGAGAATCTACCAAAATCCCTTACCTACTCCAGCTCCTTACACTGGGGCCCTTAGTAAGCGCTCAGCGACCACTCTGTACAAGGAGTTCCTTCTGCAGAGTTTCAGCTCATCCCTGTTTTCCAGTTTCCTGCCCTCACGGTCCTTTCCTCTCCCCTTCCCTCTGGGCCCCCTCCCAGGTGGGGCCTGGCCCCCCCCACACCCCACCGCCCAGTCTGGGTCTGCACCTTCCTCAGGGGCCTTCCCACACCAATCCTCAGCTGGCCCTTGGTTTGTTCCCACTGTTTCCCTGCCCCCACCTCTCCCACCCATAATTCACAAAGCCAAGCTCCGATGCTTTAAATCCATCGTTTATTGCCCACAGTTCATTAGTATTACATGAATCACAGAGATGCAGAAACTTTCTGAGAAGGTTAAGAAGACACTGCAAAGCAACCTGGGTATGACCGAGGCACGTGTGCTGGTGCCTCACTCGCCGCAGCCCAGGGCTGGAGAGCCACCGTGCCTCTGTCCTCCGGCCCTTCTCCCTTCAGGACCCCACCCTCCGGCAGGCCCAAGGCTCATCACAGGACGCGACCCCCCTACACCCCACAACAGGATGTGGAAAGGGGTCTGTTGGCCGTTTTCACTCAGCAGCCATCTTGCCATCTTGGGCTCTTGGTCCCGGCGCCCACAGACGGTTCTCTGGAAATGGGAGAAGGGCAGCCCCGAGCCTTCAGGAACGTTTGACGTGACCAGAGGACACACCAGAGCTGAGGAACGGCTGCAGGCGCACCCTGAGTTCCGGCACTGCTGGGCCAGCCCTGCCCTGCCTTGGCCTCCGCCCCAGCCATGGACCAGTCTTCCCGTGGGACTCCCTTTCTTCTGGCCTCAGCAGAGCAGGGGATGGAGGCTGCCCAAAAGCTTCCCCTCCTGGTGTTTTCCACAGCAAGGCCAGGGCCCGGCAGCATGGCTCGCTCACTGGATCTCTGTCACCATCGTGATCTCTGTCACTCGTGAGCTATAAGCATCCTTTGCCATCACCACCCCTGCCAGGAGAAGTCCCCCTCACTTTCCGGAAATTGCATTTGGGAGAACGACTGGAAACTATCTGGGAATGACGTAAGTAGGTTATGAGAGGCAGAGGCCACAGGGCTGGGGCTGGGGTGGCCCTGGAGTGGGGCTGTGCCAGGGCAGCCAGCACAGAGCAGGAGTTGGAGAGACCCTATCTCTGCCAGGCCTCTGGAGGGGGTGTGAGTGCAGCGGGGTGGGCAGTTTTGGTTCCAAGGTGAAGTGCCAGAGAATAAGACCTGATGGGGGAGGGGGGCAGGGCAGGCCTGAAGTGAGCTCTGCAGAAGAGGCCCCGTCCCCGGCACACACCTCCAACACACCTGCCTCCCCCGCACTGTGGCACCCCTTCCCTCTGCTGTTTTGTCTTCCATGCTTGCCTCTGCCCTCTCCCCTTCCCCATGGGCACTGACTGGGTGGGCGGCTCCTCGGGACAGTGGGGCCCTCAGGGCAGCACCCTGCAGAGCTAGCTGGGAGGCACCAAGGCCTGGCTGGGACGTGAGGGCGGCCGGGGCTCCTGGTGGGGTGTAGGGTGCCAGTGCCTCACCAACTCACCACAACTTCCAGCGCATTAGGGCGGCCCTAAGGCAGAGCTACCTGAGGCCACGCCCTTGCTGCTCTGCACCAGCCTTTTCCTGCACATACACGTTCCCCTCCAGCCATGTCTTTCCCCAGGTAGAGTCACCAGGGGAGGGGCGGCCCTGTGGCTGCACGTCCAGGGCTCATTCTAGTAGGGGTCATGTGAGGGGTATATTGAGTCCCTTGCTTCCTACCCTGTTCGCCCCCACCTCGGGCCCTGGGGTCCTCTGCAGAGCTGTCGTCTTTCCTGGCTTGCAACGGAAGGGGGCCCGCAGCCAGAGGCAAGGGGCCTCAGAGGTGGTGTAGGGTAAGCGGTGCCTCACACTACTTCCACCTTCAGAACTATAATGTGTTTGGCAAAGGTTAAGTGCTCCCAGGATACAGGGTCACATACAGAACAGCAAAGTCCAGGTTCTGAAGCCAACTGCTGGCCATGCTCCAAGGGGCCTGTCCCTTTTGCAGCCTGCTGTCCTTGTTGGGATGTGCCTGGGATGACTGGCATCTGAGCAGGACAGGCAAAGGTGAGCTCTAGCTGCAAGAGCAGGTAGGAACTCCTCGATCCAGTCCTCTGGTTCCAGACTGGGAGTGGAGGCTCAGAGAAGGGAGTGGGCTTGTCCAAGGTCACACACCAGCCAGAGCCAGCACGTGCTGTTCCAGGGTTGGTGCTTCTTCTCGGATAGGTGCTTAGCCATCTGGCCTTTGTTCTCTGAGGCATCAGACTCTCTTGCTCAGGAAGCAGCGCGATGGGGCAGGCAGCCTCGGTGGCTGGAGAGGCTTCCCAGACGGCAGTCAGCCTGGCTCCAGCCCCACGCTCGGCCAAACAGGGCTTCCAGCCTGGTGCGAGGAAGGAGGATCTTCCTGCACAGGCCAGACTGCATGCCCGTGGTCCCTGCCAAACGTCATTCCTTCTTGGGGCTTCCTGCCTGGAGTGGGGGCTGTCACAGGGGCTTCAAGTACATCAGGGCTCCACAAAGAGTGACACCAGCCCAAGTGTGTCCCTCGGTTTCCTGCAGAGGGATTGGCTCTGCAGGCGTGGCGCGGAGCTTGAAGGCCGGCCACACTCAGAGCCAGCTGCCTGTGGCATCTTCCAGAGGCCTCCAGTGCCCCTTGATTTCCTAAGCCACCTCCTGAGGACCTTGGCCATGGCTGGTTCATCTTTCGAGGTGTAGACAGACGGCCTTCCCTTTTTTCCCCACCCCTGCCCACCCCAGGGAGACATCGGCTTGGCCACAGTAATATCTGAAATCTACTAGCCCAGCCACCAAACCAGCAGTGCAAAGAGCTCTTACTCCCATCACCAGACCACGTGCTAGCAGCACCTGGGCAGCTGCGACCGAGGCTAGATTCTGATAAAAAAAATTTAAAAAAAAAAGTATAAAAGGATCCTAATTCTACCCTGTGGGCACTCTACAATTTTTCAGCTTCACACATAATTGTGCTGAGTAGAGTTTCGACAACCCCACGTAAGGCCCAGAAATGCACTTGATTATTTTCATAGGAAATGTGTCAGAATTCCTCTCCCTTATGTTAACATGTGAATAGATTAGTCTCCCTACCACTGTGGACGGAGACCCTCCCAGGCGGCCCAGGACTGCTGGGGTCAGTTGCCCACCCGCCGCAAGTGCTGCTCACGAGACTCCTTCCCCGCCCCAGCTCCCTCGGCTGGACAGCGCTGCATCCCCAGGCTGGCTGGCCGGCCGCCACTCACAGCCCCTTGTTGTACACCACTGTCCGGCTGCTGGTGGCCCGGGCAATCTCAGGCTCTAACTGGGATGTTTCGATCTGAGGAGAGAGTGAGAACAGAGGGAGGAAAGGGGAGGGGGTGAGAGGGAGGCTGGAGGGGCCCACGATTCTCTGCGCGACCCCGGCACCCAGCCTGGGCCCACACGCGCCGCCCGACACATGTTTTCTCTGCCCTTCTGCCGAGGGGCTCACAGTGCCCCTCCCACCCAGGCCTTGCCTCTTCCTGACAGGGTGTCCATGCAGGTGAACACCCTTTACCCTGGCCTCTGACCTCTACATTTCTCTTGTCTCCATGACCTTGTTCCCTGTGCTGCACTGTCCCCTCCCAGGGCCATGCCCTGGACCTGGTCACCAACCGAGGAGGCTGTACCCAGACTCTTAAATCCAAACCCCACTCTCTCGGACCCCACAGTCCTCTGTCATCCCAGCACCCCACTCACTCTCCCTGTTTTTAGACCACCGAGACCTCAGGCCCTGACTCCCTGCAGCCTGGGTTCACATTCTCGCCCTCCCACTTGGCCATGAGGGGCTATCACTTCAGCCACTCCCTAGCCCCAAGGTTGTTCCAGCCCTGACTAGCAGAACTTTGGGGGACACCAATCATGTAGCCACCTTGTCTCTGCCTGAACCTCCACCTAACGAAGACCATTCAACATTCACTGTCCATGACTTGGCTGAACCCTCACAGTGGCCAGCAACCACCCCACCCCAGGCCACGCTGCCGATCACCTGTCCTCAGCTCCCTGCTCGTCCTGGGCAGATGAGCCTTCCTACCACCTCATGGAAGAACAGAAGGCAACAGAAGGGACCTGTCAGTGTTCTGCCATCAAACCCACGGCCTACTAGTGTCCACACTCTGCCCCACACCTGCCCTCCTGCTACCCCACGGCAACTACCCCTCCCCTCAGAAGTGCTGTGAGCCCCTTGGCAGAAGGGCAGACGCCCCCTCCAAGAGTCCACTCCTGAGTCATCCTCTCTCTTTCCCATCTTTTCAGTTTGCCGACTCCTGCCCGCCAGCATTTCAACACAGATAAGAACCTTCTAAGAACCCCCCACCCTGCCCCGTGACACACTGTTACGACCACCTGGTGTCTCTCCTCCTGGACAACCAAGTTTCTTTAAGGCGTTGTCTCCAGCAGCAGCCGCTCCGCCCCCTCACCTCCCACTGACTTTTCAACCCACAGGAAATCTGGCTTCTATTCCCCCCACATGCCACAAAAACTCTTTTTCTCCAAGGTCGCTGCTAGCCCCCCTTTTTGTGACATCCACTAGACACTTCTCAGGGTCCCTGGTTCGACCTCTTCCTTGTACACACCCCCGGGTTACCCTGAACTTCCGCGTGGCTCCCGGATTTGAGGGGTTTCCCCTGGGTCTCCGCGCACGACTGACTGCGGACGAACCCTTTCTGCGGCTGTCTCTCAGGCACTTTAATCCGACCCATCTAATATGGAACTGAGTCACCCCTGCCCCCACCCACTGCCCATGCCGCTGCCCAATGCCACCCTGGCCACAGACCTGGAGGTGAAGTGAAAGGTGTCACAGCCCAGCCCTGCCTGCAAAGGACTCGGCCGTCCCCAGCTGGGCATGTCAGAGGCCAGACAGGAGGGACTTCGATGTGGACTAGAGCCGGTGGGCAAAGCAGAGCTTCCACAGAAGAAGGACCCTTGCCCTGTAGTCCCCAGGACCCTAGGACCCAGGCTCTGGCCACTGGAGAGGGCCAAACGGACAGGAGTCAGGCTCAAGGCCGGGGCCTCCTCCCCACCCCCCTCCTCCAACCACCTCCTCCAGCCCCACCCCTGCCGGCCTCTGAGTCCCCTCCACTCCACCCGCTCCCCTCGTCCCCGTGCTGCCACTGACACAATGCACAGCGCCCACGCTTAAAAATCTAAATGCTTTTGAAAATGTTTAACCTAGTTAGACAAATTAGCAAAAATTTGTGCAAAACAATTTAGGTATTTAAAATATTCAATGTTTTTAAAAAACTGGAAAACTGTTCTTAGCTTTCAGCTGCAAAAACCAACAAAATATAACATCCCAGCAATCTTGCCATGAGGTGTAACATAACCCTTCGGGAAAGCTGTTAAACAGCTACTGAGGCATCCTGGGAAATAGCACTTCATTTATTCAAATGCACATATGTCAGGCTTTTGCACCATATGTCATTCCAAGCTATTTACAGTAATAATTAAATCTTAATCAACGTTTAACCTCTGTAAAATGTTTGAAGAATCCTAATCACCCTTCAGACTGCACTAATGAAGGAGAAATATATAAACATAAAAGGAAAATGATGCATAGATACCACGCTGGAAAGAACAGTAATTGCAAAATTGTATTTCTTTTAAATATAATCAGTAAATGATGTAAAGTAAGCCAAGGAGTATTTTAAGTTAAGACATCTTGGATGTCAGAGGTGTGAGCAGCTAATTTTGTTCTGCTACCCATAACAGATGTAGCATATTTTATTTTAGTGCCATTATTAGCAACTTCCCATGCCGGCTTTCACTGAAGCACTGAGGCCCACATGGAAATCGGGAGGCTGCTGCTCACCACCATGGTGGAGGATCGCGGGCCAGGGCCACGGCCCGCTGGGCTCGCTCCCCGGAGAGGGCTGGGCCAGGTGACCCCGCCACCCCCCACCATGGAGGCTGTCACAGACCCAGGACCCCCAGGCTTCCCAGGCTCCTCGCTGTGCCGGGGGCAGCAGGTAGGAGGGAGGCCTGGGGAGATGCAGCAGGGAAGGTTCTGGGGGGAGGTGACTGAGGCACTCAGGAGCAGGGGCTTGGGGACAAGAGCTGGCATTGAAGGCTTTTTCCCTCATTTCAACGCAATCCGTTTTCAAGCCCGCAGATGTTTATGGCTGCCAACTCCATACACCAAGGCTGGGCACACAGAGATGGAGAAGCTCAGCCCATGCCCTTGAGAAGCTCCCAGTCTAGGGGAGGAGTCAGATATGAAAGCAGATGGACCCCAGGGAGACAAAGTGCCATGGAAACTGGGGAGGGGGTGGAGTTGCCATGTACTGACGAAAGAGCAAGGAAGGGAGGCTTCTCCGAGGAGGCGGGCCCGGAAGAACAGGGAGGATTTTAGTGCGAGGGCAAGAAAAGCTTGCTGGGCGAAGGCAGAACGACTGGCTGGCCCGCACGGCCTGGCGGTGTGGGCAATGTGGGCCGTGTGGGGTGTGTGACAGGAAACGGAGGTGGGGCCGGCACAGGCAGGCCCTCGCAGGCCATGCGGAGGTGGCAGGGCAGGACCAGGGGAGAGTTCTGGGCAGGGGTGGGCTCCACTCTAGAAGGGTCTCTCTGCGGGTGGAGGATGGACTGGAGGAGTGGGGGGGGGCAGCTGTGGGAATAAGAGAGGGGCCAGGTCGGGTCCGATGGTGCTGCCGCGGGGGTCCTCTCTGAAGATGAAATCCACAGGAGGTGATGGCCAATCCACGCGGGGTAAGAAGGAGGTGTCGAAGATGACTGTGCGTTGGATGACTCCTAATTCCAGCTCAGGAGCTGGGGTGGCTGATGATGCCATCCTCAGAGGCAGGGAATATGGGAGGGGGCGAGTCGGTGGGGTGGGGGGAGGGTGATGGGCTCGGGTTTGGCCACGCTGAGTCCGCCAGGTGGAAAGGACTGAGAAGCACTTAGGTCCCGGGCTCTGGGCAGGGGCCTGGGCAGGAGAACGAGCCCGGGGTGTGTGAGCACAGCCGGAGCCCTGGAGTGCAGGAGCTTGCCCAGGAGAGCAGATGGAAGGGGAGGGTGCCAGGCCTGGGGAACAGGCACATTCGAGGGGTGGGTGTAGGGAACAAGCCCACGATGGCGGCCTTGGCGGATCAGCCCAAGGAGCGGAAGCAATGGCAGGGGTGCCACAGACCCCGGGCAGCGTGGACACTGGGCAAATGGAGTTTTCTAGGTGGTCCCAGTGAGGGCTGAGAGGCTTTGGTCTTGGCACAGGGACATGGCGACCTCTGGAGTCCAGATTTCCTAACCTTTGCTCAGTTCTGACCCCAGTCCCAGCCTCTCACTTCTGTCCTGGGCCAACTCAACTGGCCATTGGTGAAGACCCCTCCTGCTCTCTGGCTGGGCTGGAGGTTGGATCTGTGGCTCACCGTCTTGAGGTCTCCTGGGTGTCAGGACCCCAGGGTTCCTCACCACTGGGCTAGCAAGGGAGGCTGTGGCAGGGACACCTGGGCTACACACCACCTTGAAGGCTGGCTGTGTAAGGCACGGGTCTGTGTCCTCCATGGAAATCACATCCAGGGCCCTGCTCTAGCCCTAACCCACTTCGGGGTCCCCAAAACAGGGCAAAGGGTTGCGGTATTCTCTTGGGGTCCCCCTGCTGTTTGGGGACTGATTGGTAAGAAGCAGAAGCTGGCTGTATGTGCCACATCGGAAGCAAAATGAGGGGTGTGGTGGCTACAGTGGCCCCCGGGCAGGCCGTGGTAGGAGGAAGGACCACCTCTGGGAAGAAGGTGACAAGGGGAAATGGAGCCGGGCAAGAAGTGGCCACAGGGAGAAGGGCTGACCTAGCCCCACTTGAGGGCAGGCAGCAACCTGGGGACCCCTCTGTCTGGCGGGCCCCTCCCCAGGCACCTGATGGCCAGTCAGCAGGGAAGGGGCTGTCTGGGATGGAAAGCCGGAGCCCTGGACGGTGGAGGATACGGGCACCAGTGAGAAGCTGATTACCAGGCAGCACTGGCCGATGGTACACACCCAGCCTCAGAACCAGGGGGGGCACGAGACGTGGGCCTGCTGGGAACATGCCGCCCTGCCGTGACGTAAGCCATGTTGTCCTGCTAGTGTTCCGTGGCTCCGAGACAGAACCCGCACCCTCGCTCTGATGGTCCCTCCTCCCACATCAGGCCCTAACCCCATCCTCCAGACCCAACCAGGCCCTGCTGCTCCCTGTATCAGCTCCCTGCAGGCTTCTGGTTGCATCTAAGGTCAGGGGCCACAAACATGAAGCCCTACGTCCAGGATCCCCTCACCTCCCTTGAGTACCCCAAGGTCTAGCTGGCCCCAGCATTCCCTAGAGCAGCCTGACGGCCT